GTCAATAATAAAGTAAATTTTTAGTCTAAAAGATCTTCATGTGAAAGAAACGACTAGAATAATAACGGTCGCTATCAAATTTTTAATAATAACTTTTATAGCTATCTTCAGTGTATTGTTTGATAATATAATTGCCGTAGCTTAAGTATAACTAAATTCATATTAATTATTATGGGGTGGTCCAGTGGTTGGAACACGCCCTTAGGTCTATTCCTGAGGCTGTTGAATCAGACGTTGGTGGCCAAAAAAAGACTGAAATGTTTCTGTGAGTTTTTCTGGCTCCGAAAAAAATGATATGTTTGCAGCCACCAAGTCTCCCCTTTTACAAAGTAACAAGAAAAAGTTGGTTTTCATAATAACTCAGCAACAAAGGATAAATTTTCTGCACATAAATTGGCTTAATATTTTTTGAATGAATGATTAGTGTGCAATTGACCCTGAAATCCGTATCGATCAACGTGTTACGAAAGATCTAATTTGTTCACTGGCTTGAATGTAATGTTCAGGAGAGGGGAAGGATAATGATGAAGCTTGCAGACTTAATTGACCAACATTTAGAAGAACTAGCTATCTTGGATACCGTTGATGCCGGGAAGTTGTTCAGCTCTTGCAAGACCGTAGACATACCGCAGGTAGCAGAAATGGTACGTTATTATGCAGGTGCAGCTGACAAAATCCATGGAGAGGTGCTCAAAATGTCGCGCGACCTTCAAGCATATACGTTGCTTGAACCCATTGGAGTTGTGGGGCTCATTGTTCCCTGGAATTTCCCAAGCACCCTGCTTTTCGCAAAGGTTAGCCCTGCCTTAGCTGCTGGTTGCACCATGGTCATCAAACCTGCTGAGCAAACACCTCTATCAGCATTATACTATGCTCATCTGGCTAAGTTGGTAAGCTCATTCATTCTCTGCGTTTGTTTGTGTTTATTGCCAATGTGGCTTGCCGTTGTTGACTCTCTCTTGTAAATTCTTATGAAGGCTGGTGTTCCTGATGGAGTGTTCAATGTCATAACTGGATTCGGAAAGACTGCTGGTGCTGCCATCAGCCATCATATGGACATTGACAAAGTAAATTCTCGTTCTTTCGTTCAAATTTGAATCCTTTATGTGAAAAATTGTTACGAAATTCGATGACAATACTTGAGTGCCATGTTGTGATTTGTAATGTTGATGCTTGTTCTTGATACCTTAGGTCAGTTTTACCGGTTCCACTGAGGTAGGGCGTGAAGTAATGCAGGCTGCAGCAAAGAGCAATCTGAAACAAGTTTCACTTGAACTAGGAGGCAAATCACCCCTTGTGATTTTTGATGATGCTGATATAAATATGGCTGCTGATCTTGCTCTCTTGGGAATCCTTTTCAACAAGGTGAAGTTCATAATTTCCGTTCAATTTAATTTTGAACTAGCACCTTGTTTATGACTTGGATGGATTTATGTAGCAGCACTGACCACGTGTTAGTCATTCGCATTTTCAGGGAGAAATTTGCGTGGCAAGTTCCCGTGTTTATGTTCAAGAAGGGATTTATGACGAATTTGTGAAGAAGTTACAAGAGAAGGCGAAAGATTGGGTAGTCGGGGATCCTTTTGATCCTAATGTCCATCAAGGACCACAGGTAACTGACTCTACCGCCAGCAACGGAGTTTTATGATTGATCTATGCCCTACAATATGCTCGCGAATCCTGAGCTTAGCCCAAATACAACCTACAAATTTGCATCCGTGACGTTCACTGGAAATTGCAGGTTGATAAGAAGCAGTTTGATAAAATCCTAACCTACATTGAGCATGGTAAGAATGGAGGAGCCACTTTATTAACAGGGGGCAAGCCTGTGGGGAACAAGGGATATTACATTGAACCTACAGTATTCACTGATGTCAAGGTACATTCACAAACTCCAACTTTAGCAATGCAAATGGAACATCTAATCCATAGGGTCATTTTCGTGTTCTTTTTCGTTATATCATTCTCGTCTCATTGATCTTATGACGATTTTCTCAGGACGACATGCTCATAGCCCAAGATGAAATATTTGGACCAGTAATGGCGCTGATGAAGTTCAAGTAAGTACAAGTAGTCTGATTTCTTTTGTTTGATTCGCGTTCAAGGCTTCAACACGAACATTGTTTAAAATTGCACGTTGAATGTTGCAGGACAATCGAGGAGGCGATACAGAGAGCCAACAACACCAGATACGGCCTAGCAGCAGGGATCATAACCAATGACTTGAATGTGGCCAACACTGTCTCTAGGTCAATTCGTGCGGGCATTATTTGGATCAACTGCTACTTTGAATTCGATCGAGACTGCCCTTACGGAGGGTATAAGATGAGTGGATTTGGAAGAGACTCTGGTATGCAGGGCCTGTATGAGTATCTCCATACCAAATCTGTTGTCACTCCCATTTATAGCTCCCCCTGGCTCTAAGTTACAATATAATCTTACGGCTGCCAGATTGTGACCTTGTATTTGTGCAATAATAATATACCTATATATATCAGGTCCTAAAGAGATCCCATTTTTTCAAAAAAATTTGTTGTGGGACCTATTCCACATCGAACTTCAACAATCTAAACCGTTTATTTTGTAAGTCTAGATTGACAGATCACCTATGCAAAACTTCAATTTAGTCCCAAACCATTTGTCCATTTAATTGCCACGATGAAATTTCAATTTTCTCCAAACATAGTGTTCGTCAATTTCTTTGAACTCAATTAAATGCCTCAAATATTTCCGATTTGGCTAATATTTTGCAAGAATGATCTATGAAGTGCAACTTAAAAAATTAACAGTTCGAATGGTTGAAGTTTGATGCGATGCCAGATTGTGTCTTGTAATTATATCGTTTTTATTGATAAAAAATACAGAAGTTTGAGATTCGGATATAGTAGTAGGTTGGTCGATTAAGAAGGAATGACTTATCATCAGGTTGGTCGTTAGTCCAAAGTTACAAACACCCAAATCAAATTCAACATTCCAAAATTCGTGAATTTGTGATCAGAAAGTTATTAATCTACACATACTCGGTGGGCGGAGTGCTAGGAGGAGAGGGGGGGGGGGGCTTTAGGCTAGAGCCATGTTAAAGGAATTAGGCACAATATGAGTAAAGTGAGAAAAGTTCGAGGTTTTTGTTGTGTTAACATGGATATTTATTTGGTACGATGATATTTTACATTAAAAGTGAAAGATTGAGTTAAGCTACAGTAATTTAGCATCGCACTCGCCAATAATGAGAGTTGAACTTAAAATTACTTATAAGTGGAGAACAATACACGTTATGTTAGTGATCATGTCATGGATTGTTGTGAATAATTATAAACTACAGAGAAATAACCCGTTTAGTGGGTTAGATGAGATTGAGCATTAGGGATAAAATTGGATTGGTAGGGACGTGTAAAATAATATTTGTAACTCATATATAAAGATATGTTAGATAACTCACATCGAGTTTTTATTGCATGAAAACATCGAATTATAGTTTCATTATCAATACAAGCGGAATAGTCAAACTACGAGAGCATTGGAGGTAGATTGTCTGCCCTCTTGTTACCGTGCCCTTTCCATCCTCTTCTAATTGTGCGGTCAACATTTCATATTCCTATTGCTTTTTGTCTTATTATCTCTATTAAAAAATCAATATAAAATGTTAACGTAGTTTAACCGTGACCGCACAAATAGGAGGGGATGGGAAGGGCACGGTAACAGGAGGGCAGACAATCTGCCTGGCTATTAAGTAAAACTTGTACACATCAATTAACGTAATCAAATCAGATTTCAACATCCAAAACTTTAACAACTAATGGCACGCACACTGATGCTGTCCAGTGCAGTCCCAAACCACTATGCCTTGCTCAGCGGTTGAGTAAGCAAAATCCGGTCCGATAAGGAAAAAATTTCGAGGTCTGTATAGGTAAATGCCCACTCCTTGTTGGAAATTGGAAGATCCCCGAAGCTGACCCGACCCCATAACTAATCAGACTCATCTGCTAGTTTAATTTTGCTCATCACTGTGTTCGGATTCATTGAAAAATTTCTCCTCTATAATAGTGGTGATGTTCATTATTATATTTATTAGGGTAATTTTATTTAAACTCATCTAACCTATTTCTACATCCAATTTATTCTTTTCACCCATTTAATTTTTAACTAAACTATTCATATCTCTTTAAACCCAAATTTAATACCTAATATACCCCTATAAACCTAATTCAGTATGTAGATTTATTTTTACACCCATTCAATTTTTTAGTCAGATGTAAGATTGAAATCGAAGAAGAAGACTAAGAAGGAGAAGGAGCTGCTGCTCCATTTGTTAGCCATCACTCCATCAACGCCTCTTCTCCCCTGCTACATCTTCCTGCCACCGTGAATCTACCACTTGGCAGCCTCTAGATCGTCAGACCCGCGGGGAGTCGAATCGACCGGCACTCCGTCGTCATCGTGCGGGGATTTGGTTTCTTTGGACTCCTCGATGGGTACCATACACTTTGCGCGACCCTTTTATACAGACCTCATTTGTGAGCTTCTATGCCGAGCTTGGTAAGTTGTGCGATGCGCATAAGGTGTTTGAGGAAATGTCTGAACCATGTGTGGTTGCGTGGAATGCGATGATTGATGGGGTTTGGGAAGAATGGGGAAATGGGTTATGTTGTTTTGCTATTTGAAAGCATGCCGGAAAAGGACGTGGTTTCATGGACAAGCGTTATAAGCGGGTTTGGGAGAAATGAGTGTGGTTGTGCTGTTTTGAGTCTCTTTGCTTCCGTAAATTATGTCTCTGGTTTCGGTCGGAATGGGTGCTCTGGGAACGTTATTTCTTCTGGCCTTTCTATGCTAATTTGGTTACACTTTGCTTCTTCTGTCTTTGGGGGCTCTGCAGCTCTTTTCAAGTTTAAGGTAAGGAATTATCAATTAGTCATGTGAATGATGGGCAATGCTACATTTTGTGTATAAAAGCTAAAACAGGGTGATATATGTAGTTATCTAATCGTTCTCTGAAATTGTGTTGCAGCTGTATTTCAGTCTTGTTGCTGTGTTCGTCCGTATACTGTTTATCATGGTAAGTTCTCGTTAATGCTTTAAGAGCAAAATCCTCCTCTCGGTCTTGTTTTCTATCATATTTATGACTGTTGGTGCTTAGACCATCTCCTCTTTTATTTTATATTGTGAGATGTTATATTTGTTAGGCTAAGTAGACCTGTTAACTAAAACGGCTATCGTTTCTTTACCACAGTTGAAGAACTCGGCCGAGAAGAATGAGAATAAGAAGAAAAGAAAGGATTGATGCTCCTCCTGTAACCCTGGTGATGCAAAGCAATGCAAAATGAGATCATCACTTGTCTATTTAGAGTTTTCCATGTGACCTCAAAAACAAAATGTGTAGTTGATGTATTCCCTACTCTTTGGTGGGTGGTAGACTGATAGTGATTGTCTAGTGTTGCTACCGTTAAACTTCTACTTACTGTTTTGAATGACATCGTTTTAATTCGTGACGAAGTTTATTGTTGTGCTGTGTTAATAAACTGGCTAGCTCCTCCATCTGCACTACTTGTAGGTTGGAATAGCAGGTTTCCAAGTAGCGATTTTGATACTTCCGGGTCCTTATGGAACAATTTTCGCCACGTCCAATGATTGAGCGTGGGCGTAGTAAAAATCCAGATTTTGCATGGTCGCCTTTTTGTCTTAATCTTTTCTTTTGGAGCATTAAGTGAAGTGGTATTTGGGTTCATTAGCTCTTCAATTTTCATCTCGAGCTCTCTTTTCTTATCTTCATCTTGTTCTTCATACCACATATTAAATCTTTCTGCTCGTGACTTTTCCGGAGGAATTAGTTGTTCACTACTATTTGGCACATTGATAAAATCTAATTTTCTCCAATGCGGATGAAGAGAATCAAGTGGGATCGGCTTGCCAAGCCTTCTATACTCTGCAATCTCATGTGCACACGGCAACTTATGAGTTTGGCGAATGGTGCAACCACAAGATACAACAGTCACTCTTTCTTTTTCCAACCTGTTATTAAAAGAAATACAATATAATTTAAGTTACCTTCAAATACAATATGGTTTAAAAGGCTAAACAATAATAATGTAAATGCAAGACAAACCCAAACTACCTTTTGGACTCGCAGACAATTAAGTTCAAGGCATGGGTAGAAACAAAACCTACTAGTCGTTGCAACTTAGGTTTCTTGAATTTGTGTTGAACAAAGTATCAACTTTTTTTTCAAAAGATGCTTTAACCTCTGTATGATGCAACTCCAACAAGGAGTGTATATGTACCCACGACGTCTCAAAGTTAAGTTGACTGGAGCGAAGTTGTCGCTTCAACTTTGCATGTGCACTTTCTGCCCTGATTATAACAATACATGAGTAAGCATAAACTATAGAATTGAAAATACAAAAGCTATAAAGTCTACGATGCTCAACTGTTTAAATATTATATTCTAATTTTTATATTTGTAAAATTCACCCTCACTGTAACATAGCCCAAAATTGACCTCAAGTCTTGCCTAGTTTAGCCATTTATCCATCAGTTGAAGTCACCGCGACAATAAATATGATATAATGACGTAAAATTTAAAACTAAAAACCAAACAACAATAATAAAGTGATGGGAAAACGGGACCCAGCATCGTAAAATGCATCATACAGAGTTATGAAAAAGTAAGGAGAAATATACCTGTTTGAGGTTGTAGTACCAAGATGCATACAATTATCTATCCATGTGCCTATGAACTTATTTTTATATGGAATTAACCAATTGTTTCGTATGTACTCAAGACCATCATCATAATTACTGAACTTAGATTCCATTTCTTGCAAAGAACGCTGATACTCCTCTTATGTTTCCAAACTCACAAGGCAATTCCAATCTCTATTAAATTTATTCCACTGCTTGTTTGACTCAAACATTTTCTTGCACTTTGACAACACATTTTTGTTAATATGCCATCTACACAATAAATGTTGCGAACCAGGAAATACAGACTTGATAGAATTTAGGAGTGCTAAATCTCGATCGGTGGCAATAACCCCAGGAAGACAATAGCCATGAAGCAATGTCTTTAATCTAGTCAGGGCCCAAATGTAATTGTCTTCTTTCCCAGCCTCTATATACACAAAAGCAACTGAGAATGTCATATTAGTGGATGTCACACCCACAATTTGTAAGAGTGGAAAACGATACCTGTTAGTCTTATATGTGCAATCCATGATAAGTACATGTGGGAATGCTCGTAATATCTCAATACTAATAGGGTGAGCCCATAAAAGGTCAATCACAGTATCACCACAACTTATGTGCCACTCAACATACTTGTGTTCTGACAACTTATGAAGCAATTGTTGCATTTGTGTCCTCCCAGCAAATTCTTTCATCCTACCTCGATGTCTAGCATTATATATTGTCCTTATAGTTGATACATTTTGTGCATCTCTGTCTTTGATAGAGACCAAGATATCTTTGGGCCTCACCAAACTCTTAGACATGTCCATCAACAATTCATTCTCCTCTTTAGAAAGTCGCCCCACAAAAGAATGTCCTTCAAGATATTCTAAAGTAGGATGATTATGCTCTCCACATACTACCTTCAATGTCCAATCGTCCTCATCGCCAATATTCACACCTTTCAACAAGAATGAACCTCCACATTTTTTCGTACCAGAACTCCTAGATTGTTTTTTTTGTGACCAATCTCATCTGACCTTTGACCATATGCTACAACACACTTGTATGACGAATATGTACCGTTTCTTTCACAAGCAAGTGTTAGTCGACGGCGACTCACAGTCTTACCTTCACCTCCTAAATTAGACCTTTTAATAACAATTACCATATTATCCAGCTTTCCATGTTGACGAACCCATGTAATCAATGCATCTTTTCCTTTGAATATCTGCACGTAACACATATTTTATTTCGAAGTAAAATTCTAAAATTAACTAACACGTCAACGACACTATAAATATATAATTACCTCATAAGTTGTAAATTGATCAGTATAATCCACCACACATTCTTGTCCAACCTCATTGCCTCGATCAGAGGCATCATTGAATTCTTGTTGCTAAAAAATAAACGACAAAATTATGATTACAATAAAAAATCTTCAAGTTATGATTAAAACAAATGGACAAATATAGCTAACTGTAGCAATGTTTTCATATTACTGACTAAAAACACATCAAGCCCCATTTTATAGTAAACAACAGACAACTTAAACTACCTTTCGATTTCCTCTTACACAACAAATGGAGTTTGGAATATGTAGGACCAACAATAACTTTCATATTGGGAGGGAGAGGGAGACCCCCGAAAAATACAATCAGAGATTATCCTTGCTTTCTGACTTATAGTAATCAGGTTTATAGGGACAAGGCTCACCTAGATCCCGACATGTATCCCTCAAAGTTAGTAAAACTAAAGATGGCAATGGATATTTTGTAATCCAATAATTGCTTAGTGCAGAGATTTTCCAGTGCAGGAAACAATGTTGGAAACTTTGAGTCGATAAATCATTTGCTTCTAAAATGTTTTAGTCCTTGGGAAATCGAAAAATAAACCCCCAAAAGAATCAGCAAGACTGCAGAATCAAGGTTCAAGATTTTTCTTGAAAAACATCCCTTCACATCAGTGGCAATTCAATGGGAAAGTCCAGACTTCCTCAACTCGAAAAATCTTCCATAAAGCAAAAAATTATAAGCTCATGAAGGACTCACCACCCAACCCAACATGCCTGAAAGATATACACATGCGGAACCAGAAACCTTAAAGACATCATTCAATTCGACAAGTTCTAAACTTTAAAAAATTGAAATCAAACGAACAAAAAATTCATAAATTGAGTCATACCTTGGTTGGAGGGTTCAAAACTTCAAAATCACCATCCATCAATAGAAAAATTTATTTTTCTCTATGAGAGCTATTAGGGTTTTAGCAGAATGAACGTATGATAAACAAAGAATGATCGTAGAGTTTAATTATAGTGTTTGGGTTTATTGATAAATTTGAGTTTTATTATTAATTTCATTTTGTACTTAATAGTAATTATGCAATAGGGTAAAATAGACAATTAACATTCAAAATTTTAAGTTGGGTGTAAAAAAAGGTTGCATGGGTTTAAATAAAATTTTCCTATTTATTATCATTCGATTATTTAAGTTTTGAGATTTGTGTAATAAATAGACTAAATCAAACTATTCCACATTAATCGATAGAGTTATAAGTAGGGGTGTGATATTCACACATCATTTTAATTTTCGACCGTCGGATCAAATGAATTGAAGAAGATCAAGGGATATAAATCAACAAAATGTGTGTGAGAAGTAAAAAGAGGTATGTGGATACTGGATAGCACACCCTATAAATATCATCCTCACCTATGGAGACTGGACAAAAATAATTTCTCATCCTCCCAACACTAGCTGTACGCACAAATATTTTTTTCGTACTCTTTTTAATTTGCAACTGACACGTCGAATGAATTTAAAAAATCAATACCAAAAAATTAACAAAAATGTATGAAAAGTTAAAAAAAAAAAAATTTAACGAAAAGCCCGCGGTAGTGTTCATTTTAACGAAAAACCATATTTTTATACTAAAAAGTCAATCATGTACTATTTACTTTACCATTTATTTTGTCCTTATCGTTAAAATTCAAAGTTTTCAAACCATTTTCATTATTTTACTTTAAAAAAAAAAAAGTGTGTGACTAAAACTGTACAAATATTCCCTCTCAGATTCCATACGGTAAGCAAACAAACACAACACAACAAAATCTCTTTTTTTCCACACAAACAAACAGAGCAAAACGCAGAGAAGAGCAGAGGAAACGGCAACCATGGGGAGTGATTTCAACGGCAGCTCAGCTTCCTTCGTCAAGATTCCGGCAATAAAGTTTACTCAGCTGTTCATTAATGGAGGTTTCGTCGATTCCGTTTCTGGTTTGTCGCCTTTGATTCCCTTCTTCTCGAAATCTACGAGCTTTCATTTAGTAAAAAGCGTTTCTTTACTGCCCGTTTTCACCATGACTACGTACTGTTTGTGTTTTTGCCTCAACCAAATTTGCAAACTCTCAAAATTCAAGAACCCATTATTTTTTAAGCTTGTAAATGCCATATATATAAGGATATATACATATACATATGATTAAGTGACTCACTGACATTTTTGCAATTTTTTGTTTTTGGTTTGTGAACCCCGATCAAATTTGGAAGGTAAAACATTTGAGACAATAGATCCAAGAACAGGGGAGGCGATAACAAGAGTTGCAGAAGGAGATAAGGAAGATGTTGACTTGGCTGTCAAGGCGGCGCGTGCTGCCTTCGACCATGGCACTTGGCCTCGCTTGCCTGGCGCCGTATGTAACTCTCCAACGCTCTAGTCTTGTAGCTACATTCATTTTTGAACATCGCTCGGTCATTCTTACTTACCTGTAAATCACATCTTGATACGTATGCAAGACATTCATTTTTGAACATCGCTCGGTCATTCTGCACATAACTTGGCTTAATATTTTTTGAATAAATGATTAGTGTGCAATTGACCCTGAAATCCGTATCGATCAACGTGTTACGAAAGATCTAATTTGTTCACTGGCTTGAATGTAATGTTCAGGAGAGGGGAAGGATAATGATGAAGCTTGCAGACTTAATTGACCAACATTTAGAAGAACTAGCTATCTTGGATACCGTTGATGCCGGGAAGTTGTTCAGCTCTTGCAAGACCATGGACATACCGTTTGTAGTAGAAACGCTACGTTATTATGCAGGTGCAGCTGACAAAATCCATGGAGAGGTGCTCAAGATGTCGCGCAACCTTCAAGCGTATACATTGCTTGAACCCATTGGTGTTGTGGGGCTCATTGTCCCCTGGAATTTCCCGAGCGCCCTGCTTTTCACAAAGGTCAGCCCTGCCTTAGCTGCTGGTTGCACCATGGTCACCAAACCTGCTGAGCAAACACCTCTATCTGCATTATACTGTGCTCATCTGGCTAAGTTGGTAAGCTCATTCATTCTATGCGTTTGTTTGTGTTTATTGCCAAAGTGGCTCGCCGTTGTTGACTCTCTCTTGTAAATTCTTATGAAGGCTGGTGTTCCTGACGGAGTGTTCAATGTCATAACTGGATTTGGAAAGACTGCTGGTGCTGCCGTCAGCCATCATATGGACATTGACAAAGTAAATTCTCGTTCTTTCGTTCAAATTTGAATCCTTTATGTGAAAAATTGTTACGCAATTCGATGACAATACTTGAATGCCTTGTTGTGATTGTAATGTTGACGCTTGTTCTTGATATATTAGGTCAGTTTTACTGGTTCCACTGAGGTTGGGCGTGAAGTAATGCAGGCTGCAGCAAAGAGCAATCTGAAACAAGTTTCACTTGAACTAGGAGGCAAATCACCCCTTGTGATTTTTGATGATGCTGATATAAATATGGCTGCTGATCTTGCTCTCTTGGGAATCCTTTTCAACAAGGTGAAGTTCATAATTTCCGTTCAATTTAATTTTAAACTAGCGATGACTTGGATCGGTTTATGTAGCAGCTTCTTGTTTATGACTTGGATAGATTTATGTAGCAGCACTGACCACATGTTAGTCATTCGCAATTTCAGGGAGAAATTTGTGTGGCAAGTTCCCGTGTTTATGTTCAAGAAGGGATTTATGATGAATTTGTGAAGAAGTTACAAGAGAAGGTGAAAGATTGGGTAGTCGGGGATCCTTTTGATCCTAGTGTCCATCAAGGACCACAGGTAACTGACTCTACCGCCAGCAACGGAGTTTTATGATTGATCTATGCCCTACAATATGCTTGCAAATCCTGACCTTAGCCCAAATACAACCTACAAATTTGCATCCGTGAGACGTTCACTGGAAATTGCAGGTTGATAAGAAGCAGTTTGATAAAATCCTAACCTACATTGAGCATGGTAAGAATGGAGGAGCCACTTTATTAACAGGGGGCAAGCCTGTGGGGAACAAGGGATATTACATTGAACCTACAATATTCACTGATGTCAAGGTACATTCACAAACTCCAACTTTAGCAATGCAAATGGAACATCTAATCCATAGGGTTATTTTCGTGTTCTTTTTCGTTATATCATTCTCGTCTCATTGATCTTATGACGATTTTCTCAGGATGACATGCTTATAGCCCAAGATGAAATATTTGGACCAGTAATGGCTTTGATGAAGTTCAAGTAAGTACCAAGTAATCTGATTTCTTTTGTTTGATTCGTGTTCAAGGCTTCAACACAAACATTATTTAAAATTGCACGTTGAAATGTTGCAGGACAATCGAGGAGGCGATACAGAGAGCCAACAACACCAGATACGGCCTAGCAGCAGGGATCATAACCAATGACTTGAATGTGGCCAACACTGTCTCAAGGTCAATTCGTGCAGGCATTATTTGGATCAACTGCTACTTTGAATGCGATCGAGACTGCCCTGGTGGAGGGTATAAGATGAGTGGATTTGGAAGAGAATCTGGTATGCAGGGCCTCTATGAGTATCTCCATACCAAATCTGTTGTCACTCCCATTTATAACTCCCCCTGGCTCTAAGTTACAATATAATCTCACGGCTGCCAGATTGTGACCTTGTATTTGTGCGATAATAATAGTTTCGTTGGAGGGCGGGCTGGCTGGTTGGAAATTGCCTGATTTGGGCCCAGTGGGACCCACAAGCCCTTAGACTTAGTTCTTGGTTGGAGACGATTTTCGTGTTATTCTGAGCTATTTTTAGCTCTATAGTCTTTTAGTCAGGTCGATTGGAGATTACCTAACTGCCCAAGACAAGGACTTGTTTGGAATGAGAGCCTACATCGAATTTTTATCGCATAAAAACATTGAATTATAGTTTCGTTGTCAATACGAGCGGAATAGTCAAACTACGAGAGCATTGGTAAATGCCCACGCCTTGTTGGAAATTGGAAGATCCCCGAAGCTGACCCCACCCCATAACTAATCAGACTCATCTGCTAGGGTAATTTTGCTCACCACTTTAGTGTTCCGGATCCATTGAAAAATTTCTCTTCTAAGATGAAGATAATGCTCATTACTATATTTATTATCATTCGATTATTTAAATTTTGAGATTTGTATAATAAATAGATTAAATCTAGAGAGTTTTAACGAAAAGTCCACAGTACTGTTTACTTTAACGAAAAATCATATTTTTACACTAAAAAGTCAAACCTGTTACTATTCATTTTAACTTTTATTTTATTTTTATCGTTAAAACTCAAAGTTTTCAAGCCATTATCATTAGTTTTCCTTTAAATCAAATTCATCCACAGTAATCGATAGAATTATAAGTATCATCATCACTTAAGGAGATTGAACAAAAATAATTTATCATCCTCAATAATAGCTGTCCACACAATCATTTTTACTTCTCACGTGCTCCTTTCAAATTCCGACTGTTAGATCGAATGAATTAAAAAAAATCAATAACAAAAAAATGTATATAAAAAAAGGATGTGAATAAGACCGTACAAATATTCCCTCTCAGATAGAGACCATACACGAAGCAAGCACAACATAACACAACAAAATACCGTTCTTTGTTTTTTTTTTCCACACAAACAAACAGAGGAAACGGCAGCCATGGGGAGTGATTTCAACGGCAGCTCAACTTCCTTCGTCAAGATTCCAGCAATAAAGTTTACTCAGCTGTTCATCAATGGAGGTTTCGTCGATTCCGTTTCAGGTTAGTCGCCATTGTTTCCCTTCTTCTAGCAATCTACGAGCTTCCATTTGGTAAAAAGCGTTCTTTACTGCCCGTTTTCACCGTGACTACGTACTGTTTGTGTTTTTGCCTCAACCAAATTTGCAAACTCTCAAAATTCAAGAACCCATTATTTTTTAAGCTTGTAAATGCCATATATATGAAGATATATACATATATACATATGATTAAGTGACTCACTGATATTTTTGCAATTTTTTTGTTTTTGGTTTGTGAACACCGATCAAATTTGGAAGGCAAAACATTTGAGACAATAGATCCAAGAACAGGGGAGGTGATAACAAGAGTTGCAGAAGGAGATAAGGAAGATGTTGACTTGGCTGTCAAGGCGGCGCGTGCTGCCTTCGACCATGGCACTTGGCCTCGCTTGCCTGGCGCCGTATGTAACTCTCCAACACTCTACTCTTGTAATTCATTTTTGAACATCACTCGGTCATTCTTACTTACCTGTAAATCACATCTTGATACGTATGCAAGACATTTTGATACGCGGACTAATAATGGTCTTTAATAATTTTCTAATAATAATTTTCATAGCTATCTTTGGTGTACTATTTGATAAGATTATTCCGTTGACTTAAGTGTAAGTAAATTTTTTAAGGTCAAACTCAAGTACTTCACTCACGAAAACTTAAATTATGTATGACAACAAAAAGTTAATCGTAAAATACAATCCAAAATCCAGATATGAAAAGGATGGAAAATTTTGAAAGGGTCAGTTCCCAACGGAGCCAGTATTATAGCTTGTTGACATTTTAGTACTAATTCAACTTAGTGTGGAATTAACCCTGAAATCCGTATCAATCAATGTGTTACAAAAGGTCTAATTTGTTTACTGCCTTGAATGTAATTATGCTCAGGGGAGGGGAAGGATAATGATGAAGTTTGCAGACTTAATTGACCAACATGTAGAAGAACTAGCTACCTTGGATACCATTGACGCTGGGAAGTTGTTCAGTTTTGGCAAGACCAGAGACATACCGCAGGTAGCAGAAATGGTACGTTATTATGCAGGTGCGGCTGACAAAATCCATGGAGAGGTGCTCAAAATGTCACGCGACCTTCAAGCATATACGTTGCTTGAACCCATTGGTGTTGTGGGGCTCATTGTTCCCTGGAATTTCCCGAGCACCCTGCTTTTCGCAAAGGTCAGCCCTGCGTTATCTGCTGGTTGCACCATGGTCATCAAACCTGCTGAGCAAACACCTCTATCAGCATTATACTATGCTCATCTGGCTAAGTTGGTAAGCTCATTCATTCTCTGCGTTTGTTTGTGTTTATTGCCAATATGATTGGCGTTGTTGACTTTCTCTTGTAAATTCTTATGAAGGCTGGTGTTCCTGACGGAGTGTTCAATGTCATAACTGGATTCGGAAAGACTGCTGGTGCTGCCATCAGCCATCATATGGACATTGACAAAGTAAATTCTTGTTCTTTCGTTCATATGTTGTATACTTTATGTGAACAATTGTTACGAAATTCGATGACAATACTTCAATGTCTTGCTGTGATTTGTAATGTTGACGCTTGTTCTTGATATATTAGGTCAGTTTTACTGGTTCCACCGAGGTAGGCCGTGAAGTAATGCAGGCTGCAGCAAAGAGCAATCTGAAACAAGTTTCGCTTGAACTAGGAGGCAAATCACCCCTTGTGATTTTTGATGATGCTGATATAAATATGGCTGCTGATCTTGCTCTCTTGGGAATCCTTTTCAACAAGGTGAAGTTCGTAATTTCCATTCAATTTAGTTTTAAACTAGCACCTTGTTTATGACTTGGATAGATTTATGTAGCAGCACTGAGCATGTGTTAATCATTGCATTTTCAGGGAGAAATTTGTGTGGCAAGTTCCCGTGTTTATGTTCAAGAAGGGATTTATGATGAATTTGTGAAGAAGTTACAAGAGAAGGCAAAAGATTGGGTAGTCGGGGATCCTTTTGACCCTAATGTTCGTCAAGGACCACAGGTAACTGACTCTACAGACAAAGTTTTATGATTCATCTATGCCCGACAATATGCTCGCGAATTGCTGTGCTTGTCCAAATACAACCTACAAATTCGTATCTGTGAAGTTCACTGAAAATTGCAGGTTGATAAGAAGCAGTTTGATAAAATCCTAACCTACATTGAGCATGGGAAGAATGAAGGAGCCACTTTATTAACTGGAGGCAAGCCCTTGGGGAACAAGGGATATTACATTGAGCCTACAATTTTCACTGATGTCAAGGTACTTTCACAAATTCGAACTCTATCAATGCAAATGGAACATCAAATCCATATGACTATTTTCACGTTCTTTTTCGTTATATCATTCTCATCTCATTAATCTTATGACGATTTTCTCAGGATGATATGCTCATAACCCAAGATGAAATATTTGGACCCGTAATGGCGCTGATGAAGTTCAAGTAAGTAGGACAAGTCTGATTTCTTTTGTTTGATCCGCCTTCAAGGCATCAAAACGAACATTGCTTAAAATCATGGCGTGTGAAAATGTTGTAGGACAATCGAGGAGACAATACAGAGAGCCAACAACACCAGATACGGCCTAGCAGCAGGGATCATAACCAAGGACTTGAATGTGGCCAACACCGTCTCAAGGTCAATTCGTGCAGGCATTATTTGGATCAACTGCTACTTTGCATTCGATCGAGACTGCCCTTACGGAGGGTATAAGATGAGTGGATTTGGAAGAGACTTTGGTATGCAGGCCCTCTATAAATATCTCCATACCAAATCTGTTGTCACTCCCATTTATAACTCCCCCTGGCTCTAAGTTATGATCGAATCTTACGGCTGCCAGATTGTGACCTTGTATTTGTGCAATAATAAAACACCTATTTTTGGGTGAGAAGTTTCCAATTGTATCAGGTAATCATATGAAAAATATACAGAAGTTTGAGCTTGACATATAGCTCTTCACCCTAACACCCCCCTCCCCCCAACATGTCCAACTTCCTTACCATCAAACTCGATCACACAATGTGCCACTATGGCAGGTGCAGACTCTAGCAGTATCAGTGAGATTGCCTTCGTCATCCTTTAGCTATTAATTCAGGACATGACCATAGCATCATGTTGAATCCAAGCCCCAAAGCCAGCTAACAGTATCAGATAGATTGCCTTCGTCATCCTTAAGCTATGAAATATGGATATGGATACGGGAACGGCGATATGACACGATACGACATAGCGATACGGCAAATCTCTAGAAATTAAGATACGATACGCTATAGATACGACAAATAAAAATGTATATAGCAACAAAAATATACATTTAAAACATAATTTATCATTCAAATTCAAGTACATTTGAGTCGTTAGAGAAGAAATTTCGAAATCTAATCCTCTTTAAACTATAGAAGAAGTGTGAGTCATATTCATGGTTTTAATTAGAGGGAAGCTCTTTGTATTCAGCAACTTTTAATTATGTCTCCTATTAATTTTCTCCTCCTCGTTACCATTTTTGAAAGTGTAAATGTATCATAAAGCTAGATATGTGTATCCTAAATGTAGGATACGCGTATCTATCATGTCAAATTCATGTCCACCAACCAGGATATGTGACGGACGAGTATCTGAAAATATCGAATAAGTATTCGATCAAGTATCGGATACGGGACACGGGACCATGCATCACAGTCCTTAAGTAAGGCTTGGGGACGCTTGCTGATTCCATCGAAAAAGAGGACGAGATTCCTGCTACGAAGCAAAAGGGAAGCATCTGTGCCTGCTTTAGTGGGTAATTGGTGCGGTCGAGTGAGACTTCTAGCTCATAGAAGAATGCAAACTCTTCCTCAGAATTCATACAAAAATCCCACACAACCCGAATAATCCACCCCAAATTGCTAATTGGTAGCATAAATTAATGAGTTCATAAGATCAATTTTATGAAATTGGGGAAATTCGGGGCCAGAAATTGTTGATCAGATCAAACGGTAACAACAAAAACCATAATATTAAAGGAAAACTAATAAAAATGATTTCAAAATTTTGAGATTTAACGATAAGAACAAAATAAAGGGTAAAGTAAATAATACCATGATTGATTTTTTAATGTAAAAATATAATTTGTCGTTAAAGTGAATAGTATTGAGAATTTTGTTCCGTAATATTATGCCATCGAAAACATCAAATTCCATTAATTTCATGAAACCCATTGGCGGGTTTAGCCTACTACATATCTTTTGCATCTTTGTACATCCCTAACAGTTTTGATCACCGCACCCAGATCTTAAATCTCGGCACCACCCCAAACAAACCCATATACACACGCACCCATGCAACAGACAACATTATTTTCCTGACACAAACCAACACTACAACGCCGTTGTTTTAACATTCAACGAACAGGACTTCTTCTATTTTCCAACTTTGCCCCTGAGCTTGACTCCCAGAACCCTCTCCATCTTCGCCAGCACCGCCTGGTTTGGCACCGCCTTCCCGTTCTCGTACTCCTGCACCACCTGTTGCCGCTCGTTCATCCGCTTCGCAAGCTCCGCCTGGCTCATCTTCTTCTCCAGCCGCGCCTTCTGTATCGCCTGTCGCACCTCCGTCGAGACCCGCTCCAGCGCCGCCGGCTCGGCCGCCTCATCGAGCTTCTTAACGCTGACCACCGGCGCCGCCTTCTTGTTCGAGCCCCCGTCGAATTTCTTGATGGTCTGGACCGGCTCGCCCGACCGCATCGCCTGGTTCACCACCTTCGGGTCGCGGAGGGCACGGGCAATATTGGGCTTCTTCTGGAGGAGCACCACCTCCCAGTCCTGGCCTATGACTCTTAGTTTTCGGCTCGGCATCGTCGGAAATCTAGAGAGAGAGAGATTTTTTAAGGTTTACCGGATTTTTGTATCGTGGTTTTTAATGGAGAAGATGATCGGGGACGGTGAAGTTTGGTGCCCAATATATAGTGGGGCGAGAATCTGGAAAGTGAAGTTTGGTGCGCAATTTACAGTGGGGGCGAGAATCTGGAAAGTTAGGTTCTTTTTTGGATAGTTTTATCTACGGAAAATGAAAATTCGCGGGGGCGGTTAAAGTGTAACCGGTTTTTCTTATCCGGTTGTCCTTCCCCGCGTAACGTTCCGTTGCTTGAAAACGTGGCTGTGTGCTATTGGTGCTTGGGTGGAAGGTTTCTTACTTCGTCGTATGAGAGAGGAGTCCATTACTTAACAAGTATGTGTCGTTTTTCTTTTCTTTTTTTTTTTTTAAAAAAAAAAAAGGGACCAACTAGTAGCTTCGCTACTGCAGTTACATGCCCGATCCAGATATCCTCCAAACATTAGGGTAGGCATGTGCTGGCCGACATTCGAGGACGACGAAGTCATATTAACATGCATGTAAGTTATGAAGAAAGAACGAACGTAAATAAAACATGTAAAATTAACTACAATGAATATGCAAATGTAGGAACGTATTTAGAACATACTACTAATCAAGAATAGTGTAGAATGAATATTATGAAAAGGTACAAACAAATGAATGGATCCTACACCGAGAGGACTCGAAGATACTAATGCGAGAGTGTCTTGACGCTGGGATTGTACGTCTCGATTCTAAGTGAAGGGGGCGCAAAACAAAGCATGAGTGGACCAAGTTTATATATAAGTAATACTAAAATCAACTACTCTTCAAACTTACTAACCCCTAGTTTTAGAAACTCATATAGCATAATAAATGATAGGTTTTCCGAAAATCCTAGCATGTCATAAAAAACTTCATAAAACATATATCGTATCTAGTGTGCTTAGTAGTGGTATCACAATCGCCCAAATGCCCTACATCGCACGCTCGAAGGCATCTATATCTTCTGCCTAAAGGCATATATAAATGTTCCGCCCGAAGGCATATATAAATGAATATCCACTAAGTCAGCATAAAAAATCATGAACATAATATTTCCAAAATATATTTCATTAGAGCTCAATAGCTCAAACATCATATCATAAAATAATATTCATAAATATCTCAGTAACGTAAATTCGATAAAGCATGATATTTTATAAAACATAAATTCGATAACTTATAAACGTTTCATAATACATAGTCATAAAATCATAGTTTTCATGTATGCATTTTTAGTAATTAAATCATGCATTTTGGAAGGGGTCCACTCACTGATACTCCGTCACTGAAGAGCCATTTGAACAAGGGAGAACGAAATCGCCACTAATAAAAGCGCCTAAGCACATAAAGGGACCAATTAGTAAAAACCTGCTAAAATGATTGAATTTGGGAAAACGGAGCGCGGAAGGGCGTCGAAATACCCTAAGAAGAGTCCCAGGTAAATTTCGTAAAAGTCAACGAAAAGTCAACAAGAATATTTCAGAGAGTATTCCAAAGAATATTCCATTGGGTTCGGATTGGGTCAGATCTGGGTTCAAGGTAGTTAGGTCAGGTCGACCCGGTTTAAAGGCTATGGATAAGCCGAAAACTAGGCAGGGGTTCTTGAGCTCCATTCGAGCTCATTTTTTCACCATTTTCGACCAAAGAGCTATGAAAATGAAGCTTGGAATGAGGAGAAGAGGTTCGTACCAATTTAGAGCTGGGTTGTAGCTGGAGTTGGCTAGAAAATGGCCTGCAACTCACTGCATCCTTCGCCGAAAACTGGGCTCGTTACCCCGAGCTATTTCTGCGTCTAACATGCGAAAACAACGGCCCCAAACTTTATTAACGGAGGCAAGCCTTTGGGGTACAAGGGATATTACATTGAGCCTACAATATTCATTGATGTCAAGGTACGTTCACAAATTCAACTCTATCAATACAAATGGAACATCAAATCCATACCACTTGTTGATGCACAAAATCCGGAGGATCTTAGACCAACGTAAATTCGGCCGAGTTATGAGGGTGAGGGGGAGTCCTTTTTTTATAAAATAAGGGCTCCCTCCCCTTTTACATTTGTCATGGGCTTAGGAGTGAGGCCCAAAGACAAGGCCCAATATATATTACCAACAAGAGTCCATCAAGTCTTCAGTCAAGAGAGTCTTTTGGCTGGAGACTTCAAATCCAATCCATGTACGGGCCGAAGTGGTTAAATGTCTTGAACCAGTACTCAACCCAAGGAAATGCTCAACATAAAGTAATACTCGGCTAGAGGTATCACACATTACGAGACTGCTCGGCTGGAGGCGATGCTCGTTGCGAGGCTGCTCGGCTAAAAGCTATGCTCGCGGCAAGATGGTTGCTCGGCTAGAGGCGATGCTCTTTGCGAGGCTGCTCGGCTAGAGACTATGCTCGCTGCGAGGCGGCTCGGCTCGTGGTATTCCTCATTGCAAGTATCTACTTTATGTCGACATGCACTCAGTATGAGTTTATTCTTAACATGACTCAGGTCCGCTTGTCAGGTTCGCATATTGGATTCTTTTAATCATCAATAATGTTGATCAATGGATCTAGTTGCTTAATAATTCTTGACAATAAATGACAGTATAAGTGTGACTGTATAAATCAAATTGACAAAGTTTGTCAAGGCAAAGTATTGTACTGTATGCCTTATGTGAATAAATGATTTATTCTGTTGTGTGATAAATGACATGTTACATAAATCAACAATATATTAGGTATTGCCTAAATGTGTGTGTGTGTATATATATATATATATAATCATGAATAAATGATTTATTCAGTTGTTTGATAAATGACATGTTGTATAAATCAATAATGTTGATGCACAAAATCAATGAGGACTTTGGTACAACAAAAAGTGTTAAGTTTGTGACCTTAGCTAGATTGCTCCGGTCATTAGTGTGGATAAATATGTAAATGGATAGAGACAGGGAAGCAAACACAAGATGTACGTGGTTCACCTAGATTGGCTACGTCCACGGAGTAGAGAAGTTCTCATTAATTGTGAAGGGTTTACACAAGTACATAGGTTCAAGCTCTCATTTTGTGAGTACTAGTGAATGATTTAGTACAAATGACATTCGGAAATATTGTGGGAGAATGATCTCCTTTTATAGAAGAGAGTTTCTAGCTTTGTTTTGACATTGACACATGTCGTGTTGTGATTGGCTTCTGATGTTGACACATGTCGCGCTATGATTGGCTTCTGATGTCAACACGTGTCGCGCTGTGATTGGCCTCCTGGTTGAAGGGAAACTCTTATGGGTCCTTGACGGTATAACGTTGATTGGTGCTCAGTAGTTTCGGGATTGGTCAAGTATGGTACAAACAAATAATATATTAGGTAATGCCTAAATATGTAGGTTATTAGAAAAAAAAAAAATATATATATATATATATATTAGCCACAATGGGGATATAAAATGGCAGGCAGTTTCATTAGATGCCATAATCATCACTTATTGTATTCGTCTGTTACTATGCATGTCATGTGACACCACATACCATCACTCTCTGCATGTACTTATATATATATATATTAGCACGACAGACAAGGTGTGGCAGAAATATTTAAAGTGGAAGCTAATAATAAAAGTGTTCTTATCTGTGAGTTTTTTTTTTTTTTCCTTTGTGAGAGTGGTTGACACTAAAAGCAAAAGCAAATGCATCTTATCTTTCTTTTGAATTCGGTGGTCAGTAGCTTTTGATAAAGCTTCCTGCACGTTCTAGCCTTGAGAAGGCATGGAACAAACAAAAGATAACTCAGAAGCAGACAATGAGCCTGCAACTAGCTGGTCCGAGCCTTGGTTCTTTTAGGAGAGACCTTGCCTATTCTCCTATCTGATCACCTGAAAAAACCTGCTGAATACAGGTAGGGGGAAGTAGATGTTGACGGCGAGAATTCCGACGTTCTTGGCCATTTTCTCTGATGAGCGTTTAAGTCACTTCAACGAACGAAATCCCTCAGCGAAAGTATCCGAGAGATTGAAAAATACCTGGTGCTCCTCTCTACTCGTCGAGCTAAATTTAGAGAGAGGAGGAGAGGAGAGAGAGATGAATGTGAGTCTCTCGCACAGAATCCAAGAAATTTGCAGAGAGAGGGATGTTGAGAGGTTTGAAGGTTGTAATCACTTTGTAATTTTATCTGTCGGTGAAGAGGATGGGCATTCCGCAGGGCAGCCTGATTGAAAGAAACAACAAGGTACCTGAGAGAGATATTCCCACCCACGACCGACCCACAAAAGACAACGCTCAAAGTAGCAATCTTGAGGAACTGGAATGAGATTTGATGGTCTAGAGAGGCACAATCTTGAGGAAAACGATGGAGAGGTAGCTAAGAACTGCGCAGGCGTCCATGTGGCACATTGTGAGGAAGATTGGGAATCGGAAGCCATAGTTGGAGAGTAAGAACTTGTTGAGTAGGAGGCGCCGATGTTTGATGAGTACCAGAGGATTATGAGGGAAGATATGAAAATGGCTTGCTTATTTGACAACATTGCTCAAATAGGTTGAAGGAGGATGAGAGATTTTGAGGTGTTTGTTTGGTGGAACATGTGCTTATCCCTAAGCCCATGACAAATGTAAAAGGGGAGAGAGCCCTTATTCTATAAAAATGACTCTCCCTCACCCTCATGAATGACAGACATTCGGCCTCACATCCAGAGAGCCTCACATTCATCCCTCACAATATATAGGGCAATACCCTCTCAACCAAACAGAGAGCAAAATGGCAAGGGTTGCATCCACAAAGAGCTCACTTGCCGATCCATTGTAATCCATACATACATACATAATCAACATCAGTGTGGACGTAGCCCAAACATTGAGGTGAACCACGATACATCTTTGTCTTCTTTGGTGTTTATGTGATTCACGGCCAGATTTACGTTAGCCTAAGATCTGTCGGATTTTATGCATCAACATTTGGCGCCGTCTGTGAGAAACGACACGAAAAGCTATGTCGGTTCTCTTTCAATCTTTCATCTCACCACTGTGAAACCTTCACAACCTCACCACTATCCACCGTGGATTTGCAAAACCCATATAGAGACACAATCTATCTCTCATTCCTTCTCTCTCACTTCTCACTCTCTTTCTTCCCTCCGCAATGAAGTCGTGGATTGACGACTTAGCCGACGATCTCCAAAGTCTGAGTTTCACGTCCACCACAACCACCAACACCAACACCAACACTACCAAGCGCAGCACTAGCTCCTGCTCCGAATCCCTGACCCGGTAAATCTTCATCTCCGACCTCAAATTCGTAGAGCGCCTCGGTTCCGGCGATATCGATTTCGTCTACTTGGCCAATTCGAAGTCCCTTGCTAGGGGCCAGGGGTGTGTATTTACTTCGAAGGTGAGGGACAAGAAGGAACTGATCAGCCGGAGCAAGGAATGGCGAGCCAGGACAGAGGGGGAAATACTAGAAATGTTGGAGCACCCGTTTTTTCCCACGCTCTATGCGAGCATCGACGCGCCCAACTGGCTTTTTCTGCTCACCGAAAAAGAGGGCTTGAAGCCCATGAAAGATCATATAGATCTTGATTCACAGACGAAGAAACGAGACCTGAAGGAGATTGCGGGCAGCTTCTGGTCAGCATATTCAGTTTTCAGCAAAAAATTACAGAAATGAAGGCAGAAGCAGAAGCTGAAGAAACGGCGGAACGGCTGCGGGTCGGCTCGTTATCGGTGGAGAAGCCGATCGTGAGTGTTTCCACCTACTGACATCAGCCAGAAGATTTGAGACTTCTGAGCTGGAGAAGGACATCCGACTTAAAAAATGGGATCGGGATCAGGATCATGACATATGGAAAGAAGAGATAGCTTCACAAGCGACCCGTTAAAGACATTGATCATGTGCTCGAAAATGGGTTTCTCTCGATTATCGTGTTTGGTGCTTCTGGTGATCCTGCCAAGAAGAAGACTTTTACAGAGGCTACTTACCATCCACCGGTGGAAACATTCACGAAGAAGATAAGACTTTATATTTCTTTATGTTATTTCTCAATTATTCTATAAATGGTGCCCAGCTTGACTTTTCTTTTGTTTGCCTCAATTATTCTATAAATGGCGCCCCACCTCCTGCGAATACCACAGGAAAAGTGGAGATAAGATTCTTTTCTCATAACAATTCTATTATTATTCCTTGCCATCTGCCAAAAGAAAAAAGAAAATAGCTTTAATTTTCTTTTGTCTGCCATTACACATATTTAACCCATGTACATGTGCAATATTTATTCATTGCCTAGTGATATTGTAACTGCTATTAAACTATGTCACTTATACAATATGTGATTTACCATACGACTGAATAAATTATTTATTTATAAAAGGCACATGGTACAATATTTTGCCTTGACAAACTTTGTCAATTGGATTTATTCATTATACGGTCATACTTATACTGTCATTTATTGTCAGGAATTATTGAGCAACTAGATCCACTGATCAACATTGTTGCTGATTAAAAGAACCCAATATGCGAACCCGACAAGCGGACCCGAATCATGTCGAGAATCAACTCATACTGAGTGCATGCTGACATAAAGTACATACTTGCAATGAGGAACACCACGAGCCGAGCCGCCTTGCAGCGAGCATCGCCTCTAGCCGAGCAACCTCGCAACGAGCATCGCCTCCAGCCGAGTAACTGTCTCGCCGCGAGCATAGCCTCTAGCCTAGCAGCCTCGCAACGAGCATCGCCTCTAGTCGAGCAGTCTCGCAACGTGTGATACCTCTAGCCGAGTATTACTTTATGTTGAGCATTGCCTTGTGTTGAGTACTGGTTCAAGACATCTAGCCACTTCGGCTCGTACATGGATTGAATTTGAAGTCTCCAGCCAAAAGACTCTCTTGACTGAAGACTTGGGGGACTCCTGTTGGTACCATATATTGGGCCTCGTCTTTGGGCCTCATCCATAAACCCATGACAAATGTAAAAGGGGAGAGAGCCCTTATTCTATAAAATGGACTCTCCCTCACCCTCATGAAGGACAGACATTCGGCCGCACATCCATAGAGCCTCACATTCATCCCTCACAATATAGAGGGCAATACCCTCTCAGCCAAACAGAGAGCAAAATGGCAAGGGTTGCATCCACAGAGAGCTCCCTTGCCGATCTATTGTAATCCATACATACATACATAATCAACATCAGTGTGGACGTAACCTAAACATTAGGATGAACCACGATACATCTTTATGTTCTTGGGTGTTTGTGTGATTCACGGCCGAATTTACGTTGGTCCAAGATCCTTCAGATTTTGTGCATAACACCACTACTTTCGTGTTCTTTTTCATTATATCATTAATCATTCTCGTCTCATTAATCTTATGACGATTTTCTCAGGATGATATGCTCATAGCCCAAGATGAAATATTTGGACCCGTAACGGCGCTGATGAAGTTCAAGTAAGTAGGACAAGTCTGATTTCTTTTGTTTGATTCGCCTTCAAGGCTTCAACACGAACATTGCTTAAGATCATGGCGTGTGAAAATGTTCAGGACAATTGAGGAGGCAATACAGAGAGCCAACAACACCAGATACGGCCTGGCAGCAGGGATCATAACCAAGGACTTGAATGCGGCCAACACCGTCTCAAGGTCAATTCGTGCGGGCATTATTTGGATCAACTGCTACTTTGCATTCGATCGAGACTGCCCTTACGGAGGGTATAAGATGAGTGGATTTGCAAGGGACTTTGGTATGCAGGCCCTCTAGAAATACCCCCATAGCAAATCTGTTGTCACTCCCATTTATAACTCCCCCTGGCTCTAAGTTATGATCGAATCTTACGGCTGCCAGATTGTGACCTTGTATTTGTGCAATAATAATACACCTATTTTTGGGTGACAAGTTTCCAATTGTATCAGGTAATCGTATGCAAAATACACAGAAGTTTGATCGGATCAAACAGTAACAATAAAAAGCATAATATTTTGCCAACGAAACATCAAATTCCATTAATTTCATGAAATACATTGGCGATTTCAGCCTACTACATATCTTTTGCATCTTTGTACACGGTTTTGATCACCACACCCGGTTCTTAACTCTCGACACCAACCAAAACGGACCCATATACACACGCACCCACACAACAGACAACATCATGTTCACGACACAAAACAATCCTAACAGGACTTTTTCTATTTCCCAACCTTGCCCCTGAGCTTGACTCCCAGAACCCTCTCCATCTTCGCCAGCACCGCCTGGTTCGGCACCGCCTTCCCGTTCTCATACTCCTGCACCACCTGTGGCCGCTCGTTGATCCGCTTCGCCAGCTCCGCCTGGCTCATCTTCTTCTCCAGCCGCGCCTTCTGTGTCGCCTGTCGCACCTCCCGTCGAGACCCGCTCCAGCGCCGCCGGCTCGGCCGCCTCCTCGAGCTTCTTCACGCTGACCACCGGCCCCGCCTTCTTGTTCGAGCCCCCGTCGAATTTCTTGATCGTCTGGACCGGCGCACCCGACCGCATCGCCTGGTTCACCGCCTTCGGGTCGCGGAGGGCGCTGGCCTTATTGGGCTTCTTCTGGAGGACCACCGGCTCCCAGTCCTGGGATATGACTCCTGGGTTTCGGATCGGCATCGTCGGAGAACTAGAGAAATCTAGAGAGAGAGAGAGAGAGATTTTAGAGAGAGAGAGAGAGAGTATTCTGGATTTTTGTTTGCGGGTTTGGAGGGGAAAATGATCGGGGACGATGAAGTTTGGTGCGCAATTTATAGTGGGGCGAGAATCTGGAAAGTTCTCAAAGGTTCTTTTAGATAGAAAATGAAAATTCCCGGGGGCGGTTAATGTGTACCTGGTTTTTCATATCCGGTTGTCCATCGCTGCGTAATGCTCCGTTGTTTGACAACGTGGCTGTACACTATTGGTGCTTGGCTGGAAGGTTTTCACTTCGTCGCGTAGAGGATAATCTTTTCTTTTTCCTTTTTATTGGAGTAGAGGACCTTTAAGAATTCGAGATTAAACGGCCTGTCGTATGGATAGATTTTTGTAGTGCGAATATTATCTCAAATGTTGAAATAGTTGAATTTTTTAAATATTCAATTATTTATATTATGACATATGGTGTAGTAGACCAATGTCGAAGATTTTTCTGATGTCTTGCTTTGTTTGCAACACGAACATAACATAAGAGCTTGTATTGATCGGTCGACTGACAAAAATCACAAGAATTATGTAGCTTCTGGCGTAAAAATTTTCGGTTTTCACTGCCTCTATCATGTAACCTTATATTTAGGGTCTAATTAATCACTGTCGCATCTTTGTATTTTGCTAAATTGCATCCTGAAATGTCCCCTTAACGGAAAAGGAAGAAAAGGAGGAGATAAATGTGGTAGAAACCATCAATTATCAATCCTAAACCACAAATTAACTAAAAACCCAAAACCAATTAGAAATTAAACAAACCTCTTGTTTTCCCGGGAAATTCGGGTTTTGTATAACTTTTTCAAATGACCAAAACACCCTCCTATTTCACTCTTGCATTTTAAGTAACACTGTCGGTAGTTGACACCAGAAACCCAAAATGGTCCTTCCGCAGCACTAGAACCACACAACTAACTTAACCGTTTTTTGAAATTTGTTCGTTCTTCTCTCTCCCCTCCTCCCCTGAGACTGCCATGCATGGAGAAAGATCCGATCAGTGAAGAAAACGGCAAATCGAGCCGGAACAAGCAAACAAAATTCAAGAGGAAAGAGCTGGGATTGTCGTGCATGCTAAACACCGAACTCGGCGCCGTCCTTGCCGTCATCCGCCGTCCCCTCAACCCGACTTCCCACTGCTTCGCCGCCCCGGAAGACACCATCGACCCTTCCCTTCTCCAATCCCTAAAATCCCTCCGCGCCCTGATCTTCAATCCCCAGCAGGAATGGCGCACAATAGACCCCTCCATCTACCTCTCCCCCTTCCTGGATGTCATCCAAAGCGAGGACGTCCACGCCGCTGCCACTCGCGTCGCCCTCTCCGCCACGCTGAAGATTATCAAGCTCGGAGTCTTCGACGAGAAGACTCCGGGGGCGAAAGAAGCTATTAACACCATGGTCACATCCATCACCACGTGCCGGCTCGAAAGGACCGATTCTGTCAACGAGGACGCCGTGATGCTGAGCATCCTTCAGGTCCTGACCGGAATCATGAACCACCGAGCTTCGGTTCTGCTCTCCGATCAGTCAGTGTGCACAATTGTGAACACCTGTTTTCAGGTGGTTCAGCAATCGGCGAACAGAGGAGACTTGCTAATGCGAAGTGCGAGGTACAATGCACGAGCTGATCCAGATCATTTTTTCGCGGTTGCCGGAAATTGATTTCAGGGATGACGAGAGCTTGGCCAGTACTGACACCGAGGACGCCGATGCAGACGATGGGACTATGGATTCCGGATATGGGATCCGGTGTGCGGTTGATATTTTTCACTTCTTGTGTTCTTTGTTGAATGTGGTTCAGGTGGTTGAGACAGATCAAGGGTCTACTGTGCAAACTGCCAACGAGGATGTGCAGCTTTTCGCTCTCGTTCTGATCAACTCCGCGATCGATTTGAGCGGGGATGGAATCGGGTCGCATTCGAAGTTGTTGAGGATGATGAAAGACGATCTCTTTCACCATTTGGTTCACTACGGCACGCGTTCAAGCCCGCTTGTTTTTTCCATGATTTGCAGTACGGTTTTGAACATGTATCACTTTCTTCGGAGGTGAGGTTTTCGGGTTCATTTCAAGATGCCTATATTTCCTGTTCTAATTTTCACACTTCTATTTGGGAATTCTTTGCTTTGTTTTTGCAGGTTCATTCGTCTTCAGTTAGAAGCGTTCTTCACGTTTGTGCTGTTTCGAGTTTCAGCTCCCGGAGTGTCAATCCAACTTCAAGAGGTTGCACTTGAAGGGATTATAAATTTCTGCAGACAACTGACATTCGTCGTAGAGGTCTATGTGAACTACGACTGTGATCCGCTTTGCCATAATGTGTTCGAGGAGATAGGGAAGTTGCTTTGCAAGCTGTCCTTTCCGGTCGCAAGCCCTTTGACAACTTTACAGATACAAGCCTTTGAAGGGTTAGTTATCATGATCCACAACATTGCAGACAGTATTGATAAAGAAAATGATACAAGCCCGTCTGGACCCTACCCGATTGAGATCAGAGAGTATACGCCGTTTTGGGAAGACAAACCAAAAGATGATTCAGAAGCTTGGGTGCAATTTGTAAGGCTGAGGAAAGCGCAGAAGAGGAAAATATTGATTGCCGGACACCATTTTAATTGCGACGAAAAGAAGGGAATGGAGTACTTGAAGCTTTCCAACTTAGTCTCTGACCCTCCGGATCCAAAGACTTTGGCTTATTTCTTTCGTTACACTCCTGGGCTTGACAAGACGATGATAGGCGATTATCTTGGTGATCCTGATGAGTTTCACATCAAAGTACTTAAAGAATTCACGGGAGCCTTTGGATTTTCAGGCATGAATCTCGATAGTGCTCTCCGAACTTATCTGGAGACTTTCCGTTTGCCAGGAGAGTCCCAGAAGATTCAGAGGATTCTCGAAGCGTTTTCAGAGAGTTTTTTTGAGCAGCAGTCTGCAGATGTTTTTGTGAACAAAGATACTGTATTCATTCTTTGCTACTCTCTCATTATGCTCAATACTGACCAGCACAATCCGCAAGTAAAGAAGAAGATGACGGAAGAAGAGTTCATCAGGAATAATAGGGCAATCAATGGAGGGAAGGATCTTCCTAGAGAGTATCTGTCTGAGCTTTTCCAATCCATATCGAACAATGCAATCACGCTTTTTGGTCAATCTGGTATGACAGTACTAATGAACCCGAGCAGATGGATTGAGTTGATGAACTGTTCCAAAACAGTGCAGCCTTTCATTCTGTGTGATTTTGATCGTCGGCTAGGAAGAGACATGTTTGCTTGCATCGCTGGCCCTTCAGTCGCTACTATTTCTGCATTTTTCGAGCAAGCTGAAGAAGAGGAGTTGCTCCATGAATGCATTGAAGGATTATTCTCGGTAGCCAGGATAGCGCAGTATGGACTGGAGGACACACTCGATGAGCTCATTGCCACCTTCTCGAGATTCACCACGCTGCTTAATCCTTACGCCTCTGCAGAAGAAACACTCTTTGCTTTTAGCAAAGATTTGAAGCCAAGAATGGCTACACTCGCTGTTTTCACCATCGCAAACAACTTTGGAGAGTCAATCAGAGGGGGTTGGAGGAACATTGTGGACTGTTTGTTGAAACTCAAGAGGCTTAAACTCCTTCCCCAAAATGTTCTCGAATTTGATGCTTCCACCTCATCTGATGCTCAACCTACATCTGAATCGGGTGTAATCTTCCCTGGTCACGATCCCAAATTTGGAGGACGACAGGCTTCTGGCATGATTAGTCGATTCTCACATTTTCTATCACTAGAGAGTCCGGAAGATGCTGTATCTCTTGGCATGAGTGAATTTGAACAGAACCTGAAGGTTATCAAACAATGCCGAATTGGGAACATCTTCAGCACTAGTTCAAACTTTCCTGAGGACTCTTTGCTGAACCTCGGGCGTTCGCTAATATATGCAGCTGCAGGGAAAGGGCAGAAGTTTAGCACACCTGTTGAAGAAGAAGAGGCCGTTGAGTTCTGCTGGGATTTGATGGTTGCCATCTCTTTGGCCAACGTCCATAGATTCCAAGCATTTTGGTCTAGTTTTAATGATTATCTGCTGGCGGTTGCTCAGTTTCCGATGTTCTCCCCAATCCCATTTGCTGAAAAGGCCATTGTAGGCCTCTTCAAGGTCTGTCTGAAGCTCCTTGGCACATACCAACCTGACAGAGTCCCCGAGGAGCTCATTTTCAAGTCGATAAATCTAATGTGGAAGCTGGAAAAAGAAATTCTCGACACTTGCAGCGAGTCCATTACACAATCATTAAACAAGATTCTCGTTGAGTACCCTGCCAATTTGCAAACCCAACTCGGATGGAAGTCAGTTCTCCACTTGTTATCAGTCTCCGGGCGACACCCTGACACCTATGAGCAGGGAGTTGAGACTCTGATCATGGTGATGTCCGATGGAACCCATGTATCGCGGACAAATTATGCTTACTTCATTGACTGTGCCTTTGGTTTCATTGCTCTAAAAAACAGCCCATCAGAGAAGAACTTGAAGATACTTGACCTATTAGCGGATTCTGTAAATTTGTTGATCCAATGGTACAGAAATCATTACTCAGATCCCGGGAACAATTACAGCATCGCGAGCAACACTAGTACCTCCTCCTTAGAAGACTCGAAAGGTTTCGGCTCTAACAACTTTACCATGAATTTGTTTGTCAAGCTAGGGGAGGCATTCCGAAAGACCAGCCTAGCTCGGCGAGAAGAAATAAGAAACCATGCAGTCTTGTCTCTTAAAAGAAGTTTCCAACTTGCTGAGGAACTAGAATTCACACCAACCAACTGTATCAACTGTTTCAACCTCCTTATCTTCGCGATGGTGGATGATCTGCACGAAAAGATGCTGGAGTACTCACGAAGAGAGAACGCAGAGAAGGAGATGAGAGGCATGGAAGGGACCTTGAAGATTGCATTGGAGCTCCTCACAGATGTGTACTTGCAGTTTCTGATACCAATTTCGCAATGCAGCGGCTTTCGGACATTTTGGTTAGGAGTGTTGAGAAGGATGGACACATGTATGAAGGCGGATTTGGGATCGTATGGTGAATCAAAACTGCCGGAAGTTGTGCCGGAGTTGCTGAGAAAGTTGATTACGGAGATGAAGGAGAAGGAGATTTTAGTGCCGAAGGAGGGTGACGATCTTTGGGAGATAACACACATTCAGATACAGTGGATAGCTCCTTCAATCAAGGAGGAGCTATTTCCAGAAGAAAGTTTGTAAAAAATTGAAGAAAATACTACCATAAACTTCTTAAAATTGAAGATTAATATTCCGGCGATGCTTTAGTCGTCGGATCTCCGGTCTAGCCCGGTTTTGGACCTGTGAGTATTTCTTATTTTAGCTTACAACATTTTTCACAGAAAATTTTAATTATAATCAAATTTCGCGACATATTACCAGAACAAAAATAATTTCATAAAACTAAAAGATAACAGTAGATGATATGACAGTAACAGATTAGATACGCATGTCTTGCAAGTTAATCAAAAGCCCCTGTGCTATCAAATTACATAATAAAGTTTTTATGAGATGTTAGCGCATTCTTTACTTGAGCCGGGAGGATAAGTTCATCTCCGAAACAGTTGAGAACAGTTGTTGATGTCCCCATCCTTCTCGATCATCACAAGTCCTGCGGCAAGAAATTAGGACAAATTTAGAAATTTCATTAACAAGAAGATGGTTTTTTGAATCCGGTCAATATAACATTCGACCTTGAAGAGTTATGTTAACAACATCTTGTTCCAAATCACACACAAAGAAATGATACAAATGTATTCTGGATCATTCTGCTACAACGGACAATGAAGTAGCGCATTAGGCAAGTAGAATTTGCTGAAGAAAACGAATAGCCATGAGTACAACAACAGGCCTAAGGAGATTTTCTAGCTAAGCTAGACAGCCAACAGAATGATAGACGGTCTAAAGCCTCGGTTCTAACAATGTTGATCAATGTCGAGGCTTTGGCAAACAAATGGAACTTACTTTGACAATGTTGTCAAATGCTCTCAAACACGAGGCTATGAAGTTCTAATGTTTGACAGTCTGAAGCCTCATCTCTAACAATGTGCGATATGACTGCAACAAAATTGTATCTTTTACTCAATCAACAGAGAAAATGCCATGAAACAACATATATTCACATAACTCAACAGCGGAATAAAACCAATTCGTTAATTCTTTGGAGCGAGCAACACAATGTTACAACAACAACAAAGCCTTTTCCCACTAGGTAGGGTCAGCTAGCAACACAATGTTAGATACACAAAATTATACAGTCAGAGCAAACTTAGCATATCATAATACAATAATCTCACAAAAATTATATCTAAAGAAATAACGAAATGTCAAATGTTATGCAATTGTAGCAAGAAATTCAATATGCCAACTAAGTTGAAGCAAAAGGGAGATACCGACATCACAGTGGGGGTCCTCTTTTTGTCCACTCCTTCGCTATTGGTTGTGCATTTAAGCGCTCGTTTGGAATTAGGTTTTTGCAGCCCATTGGATGTTTGTACCAATGCACCCCCGCGGCCAAGGCTGCACACTCTTGCTTTTAGTTCGCACGTGAGATTTGGGTTCGAAGAACAATTAGAGACTATCACGATCTGATACATCGATACTTTTCGATACTCATCATACAGGACACAGCTCGATATTGTGCGCACAATTTCCACCGTGCCGACCAGAGGCACTCTTCACAATGAACTCTTAGCTATCTTCGTAGCCAGACTTACCACCGATATTTTCCTTGTTGATATATTTTTTCCTCATAGCGTTCTTCTCTCATTCCCTCTCTATCTGCTGCCCTCTTACTCTCTCAATCTTCTCAAATCTCCCCAAACTTGTGAATTGAGCCGCACAACCTCTATAGCGTAATCACCAGGACGAATAGCTAGGCGCGTTACATATCCCCGTCCCTCACTTACCGTTTTGAAGTAGATCTACATGGCTTCTAACACAAGCTATGCTCTTGTGGGAACATGAAAATGCATGCATTTCTCCATGTTCTCGTGTACAGCCACACCCATCATCCCTAGTCTCTGTACTTACAGATGTAGACTTGGAAGAGGGATTCCGCGATTACCAACTACAAGTCGTAGATCGCATAATCGACCCTCTCAAACAACGCCTTGTGTTGCGACATACCGAAACACTAAACTACTACCCTCCAGAAATCCAAACAGTTGGCCCCTGTAACAAGCATACACCGCATTTCCTGGCCGAGCTCGACGAGACGCTCGCCAAGTAAAGAGACCAAGGCTTTCCATTTGTGGCTTATATGAAAGTAAGGGCCCGAGTGTTCTAGAGTTCAAGCGCCATCCCCATTTCTTCCATTTTTCTCTCCAATCTCTCGATTCACATTATATAACTTCGTCTTAGAGACATGATCTATACCGTACATCTCGTTATATACTACTTATACGGCGAGGTCTCGGAATCTCCTTTCGAAGAGATCTTGTCGGAGAGCAAATGAGAACGCCTCTGAGACTTAACTGTGGTATGCGCGTGCACGCTCACAAGGTGGACGCCAAAAGCTTCTAGAACAAGGGATGTTCTTCCTAGAGAGGAGTGGGATAACCTTTTATCATCCAACACCCACACATCAATGATAGAAAAGAAAGGAAAGATAGGTAATGGCAGTCAGATCCCTGATTAAACACTGTTGGTGTATGGAAAGAAAAGAAACAAGAAAATGAGCTCTTAGACAAGAAGAGGCAGGAAGGCAGGTAGGAGCTTCAACCAGCTAGAAAAGCAGCGAGGAATCTTGTCAGAAAATGGAAATGGCCATTCAATGGCCGAGTGTAGCTAGTGCTCCGTCGCACTAGCCTCTTCAGCAGAAAAAACACCCGGTATCGATCGACGGTTCGGCAATCTACCAGACGCGAGAGAGCTTGCGCGAGCAACTGCAGGTACCCTATGAGACTAGTCGTACTCAAATTCTTCATTCGCTGTCGGCTGCACATTTGATCATATCGGGATGCCCAATCTTCAAAATCTTCTCCGGCGCAAAGAGTTCTCAGCACGTATTCACATTTCTCGGAATGTTATCTGTGGACGTCGCTACTGGCCTCCGATACGAGGAGGACCCTAGAGAACCAAATTTCAAATGTGTCTGTGTTTATGGAGCGGAAGATCGGGCAACCCGGCCATTTCCTTAAAGTCAACATATTCGTCCACATTTTGCTCTCTTGCAAGGTAGATCATTCCAGCACGATTGCATTTCTTGGCTCTTGGGGCATTAACAAAACCTGACATGCGCGACGAAGAATTTAGTAGCAACTTTGGTGGAAAATAGAATGCCCATCAAGGAAGGAATATAAGCCGGTTAAGCAAAGCACCGGAACAAGGGTATGATTGTTCGATCGAGGGGTAGATTAGAAGGGAGTTTCCAGGTCAAGAGAAACACGCAGAATGGAGAAAGGAGTCTTCACGTGAGAATAGGCCGTAGTCTAGCATAGAAGGCCAAATTGTAGAATAGTGTTTTCCGGATCAGCGATTTGATCACAATTGGGTCGTCTCTCCAATGGTCTTGTTAAACGCATGTAACATAGAGGAAAGCAAGTAAAATGATGCTGGTTATGCTGATTTAACAGGAAAAGTACTCTGAAGCGCCCTGCATAAATACCACACACATTAGATAGACTCAGAATACAAATTGCGGATTCCTTATGTGGGTAACATGCGTAATAGGCTAGTAATTCTGTATCATATAATAGTACTGTCATGGTTAAGAGCTGAATTATATCAGCTATAAGGTCCATATGATACATCATATTTTTGAGAAAGGTAGAGAAAGCAGGGGTAATATTATTCAGAGATAGGAAAGAGGGGGGCATCGCAGACGTCCGATGAAAGAGAGCCTTTATAAGCGCGCCAAAAAACCTGGGCAATCGTAAGATGGCATATTGGACATAGTAATATCTGGCGAGAATCATTTAGATACAACGAAAGGTCTTTTCGCGGGTTACGCTCACACAGAAGTTTGGTGGGTTTCAGGTAAATGATGGACAATTAAACCTGAGCTCCACACGGGCGATTTGAATGCCATCTTTCATTGACTTGATTGGCCATGGGAGGTGTATATTGATGACATCATGGTGAAATCTAACGAATGTGATTAGAGGTAACCATACTATGAATCACTTTGACGTAGCATCGACTGATCCAGAGATAGCGCACAGTCGTAAACCTAAATGAGCATTGGGGGGTCCTAACAAGCTATAGCGGATAAAAAATGATACACAATTAACGTGAACGTTTGGAAACCAAGGTGAGCACACGTTTTTTGTTGAATGTCAACACGCTCAGGTGTTCCACATTCTTCAATACCTCAGATGGGTAGAAGTGGACAAGTGGCAGATTATAGTTATAAAAACATAGTCTTAAGCTCGTGGGAGGCATCATTCAAACTACGTTGTGAGGAGTGCAAGGTCACCTTCACTCCAACACTATAGCAAAAAGTCATACTTCATAAGTCTGTTGATCCTTGTTTCAATGAAATCACTTCTGTGTGACATTGAACAGTTACTGCTATTAAGAAAGATTCATTTGACTCATACTGTAGCATTCTGGGACTCGTCTACTGCGGGAAAAGAATCTTCATCGTCTCCTGAGTTGCTAATCTACACTTAATAATTTAACAAACTTGAGAAGGATATTCATAAGTACATTTTTCTCTTATTGTTTGAGAAGGGAGAGCACCTTTAAGAAAAATATATGGCGATTCAACTGAGGATTTGATGTGAAATGGTGGAATCAAAGCTTATTTTGACTAGTACTCTTGCATCGACAACAACTGAAGTAATTAATTTGGGTACCGTGGACTGTTTTATCGAGATGTGGGGCACATCATAACCGACTTCACATACGCCAATTATTTAGTGGTGCATTCAAATCCGTTTTTTGTCATGTATATTAAATTCATCCGAGTACTTGCACCACGCTCAAGTAACTTTAATGTAGGACAGAAGTGGTCAGAAGGTTATCAAGGCGATAGTTGTGTATGCTACGCGACTTGTTTGGAATTAGTTTATAAAATTTCATTTGTGAGACTCACACTTATAGGAAACTACGAAATCTCATTACGTTCTTGTAGTGGTATGATATTATCAATTATGACTGATGCTCATTACCCCGCAGGTTAAGAAATTATGCTTGGCTTCCTCAAGTAATTTTATTTACTTGTTGATAATGTGTCTTGATTTCAAATGATATGATTAAAGAATTCCTTTAATTTCCAAGGCAGAGGGCCATATCATGTGCCATTAGACGCTCCTTCTTATAAACTATATAAGATATCTAGCTCGTTCAAATATCG